TATACGTTTATTACAAAAGAAAGTAGAATTACATTTTTCTCACAGTAATTACAGAAAATTTAATTACGACAAAAATTCGTGAACCTCAGAAAAATAAAATGAGACGTCGACGCGCTGACGTCATCTGTGCCGTCTCCACCAGGAAGTGACGTGTGGCTGCGTCAGACTGTTGATGTTGTTGACTGGTCGACCGGAGACGGGAAGAAGGAGACGCGTTTTGTTTTTGTTCAAAAACCGTCGAAAAGGATCCGCGCCGCCGCCTCAGTGTCCAGATCCGGTTCGTTAAGAGTCTTATCTCGGTGATTAGCGCGTCGGGAGCGGGCCGGAGGGCGAACACACCCCGACATTTGATCCAGAAAGGGAGGACTCGTCACCCTCTGACCCCCTCCCTGCCTCCCTCACACAGTCACCACCATGACGATTCTCCCCAAGAAGAAGCCCAGCTCCGGGGTCGGGGTTTCGGACCACGCCGATGACAGCGACCGTCGCAGCGGCACCGACCCGCACCAGCACCCTCATCCGCACGCGGGACGGACCGGAGCTCGGCCGAGGGCTTCGCCTCCGCCGTGGTCCTACCAGCCCGCTCCGCCCTCCGCCAGGGACGACAGGCGGAGCATCGAAGCTAGCTCCCGTCCGCAGCAGGCCTCTCCGCCGCCCGTCGGCTCCGTGTCCCCCGTGGGGCCGGGAGACGGTCGGGACAGCAGCGGTGGGATGGTCGCCGGGTCCCGGGGGGAGCTCGTCGTATCGGGCGGCGTCGTCGGATGCGGCGGAGGCATCGGCAGCTGCTGCTCCGGGCCCGGACTGAGCAAGAGACGGCGGCAGGCAGGCACCTGCTCTGGCGGGGTGGTGGCGGCTCTGGCCGGCGGGGGCCAGCCCGGTGTAGCTGGACCGGGAGGAGTGGGGTCCAGCCAGGACACGGAGGAAGGAGCCGGGAACAACAGCGAAGACGAGTACGAGAACGCCGCCCGGCTGCAGTCTATGGACCCGGCTACCGTGGAGCAGGTAGGAAGCTAATGTCTGCTAAGATAACAACAGGAAGCTAGAGATGCTAATGCTAAAGTGGCTACACAGGTGTGATCCAGAGCCTCATACAGTCTGTGATCAGGTGACACACACACACACACACACACTCAGTGTGTTTAAGCTGTGAAGTGTGTTTTGTGTGTTCAGTTGTCAAATTTAAAGTCAACACATCTTCGGACAACACCTCACATTAACCTGCAGGTAACCATAGCAACAGCCCTGATGCTGCAGGCAGCTGACCTCAACACTGACCCCAGACACGCTGGATTGAAACACGGCTGACCTTTGACCTTTGACCCTGGGGACTCTCAGGTGGTCCCACTTGTGTTTGCTTCGTGGGACTCCAACATTTCTCAGAGCATCTATTAATCCATTCAGTAATCAATCAACCAAGAAGTGAGTTTCAGTGTCATGTGACAACATCAGGAGTCGTGTTCATGTCAGGTTTCTGATTGGCGGTCACTGTTCGTTAACCTGCTGGTAACCATAGCAACAACACAGACAGACAGAACATTCCGTGAATGATTTCACGTTACTCTGATTATAGCTCTAAACTTGAGGTGCACTGTTAATCTCATCGTGTCCTGTTCAATGATGATCAAGTTTTCTATCCATCGATTTATCATATGAATATAAAGATGACGTAACCTTTGACCCTGTGAACCAGACACAAACGTTTTTATATTTTGCATTATTACCTCCGGCGAGGACGTTAATCTGCATTAGTTTGTTTGTTTGTCTGGTAGCTGGCAGGATGAGTATGAAACTTTGCTCTGGGAACAGCTCATTAACGTTTGGCGTGGATCCAGATTAATTCAATCAATATGCACCAAATTGCATACGCTCGTAAATATCCGCTCACTGTTTATGTCTGATTCATCAATGATTAATCCATGAATTATTCTCTAACTTCCCATCTCGCAATGTTAAAGACAGAGATAAAACATCCCTGGATCCTCCCCTGACCCAGACACAGAGTTTTGCGGTAATCTGTTTTAGTGTAATGCTGCTAACTAAGAGACATAACCTCTTTGGTGAGATAGTTATTTCAAATTAAAACCCACTTATTGTTTTAACTCCACATGGAAGACGACCTCAGCAACTTATTTTGATAATCGACTGTTCGTGTTGGTTCAGGTTTTTGATTCTGTATAAGAATAAAAACAAGCATTTAATAAATAAATGATCAGTCAATCAAATAATTGATTGAATGATTGATACTCAGATCAATTGTTAGTTTGAGTCTCACAGAAAACTGAACATTATGAAACAAGACATTTAAAAAAACTTCACTTTGAGGAACAATAAAAAACTCTTCTCGCTTCACTGTTGATGATGAGACCGATGATCTGTAAACAGAGCTGACAGTGAACGCACCAAATGTTTTCAGTCTGAAAGTTTGATTCGGACACTGTTCTGATCCAGCGTCTGAAAATATGAACCGAGCTTCATGTGTTTGTTCCATGTTTCATTTAATCTGTAATTCAGGGACTAAAGAATTCTGTCTCACACACGAACGTCCTGTTGTCATCACCAGCGTGGGCGTCGTCTACCTGTACTTGACTCTGATTGGTTTGTAGACGATGTTGTCAGTTGGGGGGGGTAGTAGTCTTCCTGTTTGAATGGAGAACATGAATGAAGCGCTTCATTTGGTTGAGATGGTAACATCATGATGGTATTATAGCAGTATCAGCAGGTTTATGCACAGTACTCCACAGTAATACAGTACTACAGTACTCCACAGTAATTCAGTACTACAGTACTCCACAGTACTCCACAGTAATACAGTACTCCACAGTAATACAGTACTACAGTACTCCACAGTAATACAGTACTACAGTACTCCACAGTACTCCACAGTAATGCTGTACTTCACTGTACTACTGTACTTCACTGTACTACACTGTACTTCACTGCACTACACTGTACTTCACAGTACTACACTGTACTTCACTGTACTACAGTACTCCATAGTAATACTGTACTTCACTGTACTACAGTACTTCACTGCACTACACTGTACTTCACAGTACTACACTGTACTTCACAGTACTACAGTACTCCACACTAGTTCAAACGCACCAGATGAACGTCCTCATGGTTCAAACATTATTTCTTCGGAGGTGAAGACTGCAGCTGCTTCCTCTTCTTTTTCTTCTTCTATGGTTTAATGTGTCTCTACTTCCTGTGATTTGTCCAAAAGTCCAAACTGTCCAACAGAGTGTTTTCACTGTGAACCATCAGAACCGTGGTTCAGTTTGATCCAGACCCAGAACTCCTCTTTTGAGTCGTTGGTCCACGGATCCTTTCACACCTGATGTTGAGGTTCAGACTAAACTGTAAAGTCTGAAGTTCAGAGTGTGAAACCGTCCTGATTCATTTTCAAATACAACACAACACTTTCTGCCTCCAGCTTCTTCATTCGTTGATGTCATCTCAAACGGTTTCGCTGTTTCAGATGAAAGGAATTCTGGGTGATGAAGTCTTTAGCTTTCTAGGTCCAGCGTACAGCTGACCCATGTGTGTGTGTGTTCAGCAGGAGCACTGGTTTGAAAAAGCTCTGAGGGAGAAGAAGGGCTTTGTCATCAAGAAGATGAAGGAGGACGGAGCGTGTCTGTTCAGAGCCGTGGGTGAGTGACACACACACACACACACACACACACACACACACACACACACACACACACACACCTGGTTTCAGGGTCAGATGTGTCTGTAGTTCGTCTGGTCACCAGCAGGTGTCAGTGCTTGGCCACTTTTTCGAGCTGTTGGACTGAGAGGTTTTGTTTCCTCTTGATGTAACTGGGATGTAAACTCGTATACACATAAACACATGAGACCACATTGAAAACCTCTTATATTTTCCCATAAACCAGAAAATAATCAGAAAAAGAACTCACATTAGTAGTACTAATACTTTTTAGCTTCCACGCACACAGTCAGAGATTATTACCTGCAGTTGTGCTTGTATCTGCAAGTAGCATCAATGCAGTTCTTTCTCATTCCTCATGACGTCCTCTCCACAACAGGAATAACAAACCATCTAAAAGACGAAAACATAACCTCCATGACGGCTGTAAAAATAGCTGATAATCATCTCTAGAAATAAAAACAAATGAAACAGACTCTGATCAGTTGTGTGAGGACAAAACACATCAGGTGAGGAAATGTCCAGTCGACTGTTGATTCCTCAGCTTGAAATGTTTTTCACATTATGAACCTGTTGTTTCTGTGAATTCACTCAGACGCTTCATTAACAGCTGTGTTGATGACACGTAAACACTCTGTCCACTTCCTGTTGAACCTGCTTCACTGATGATAAACACACACGACCATCATTTCATCACAGGAGCACTGACAGCAGAGGGTGCTCAGAGTGTGTGTGTGTGTGGGAAGGTAAATGTGGGTCACTGAAAAAGAAGATTACACACACACACACACACACACACACACACACACACACACACACACACACACACACACACACACAC